AACTTACAATTTTATGATGTTTTCCCAATTATCAAAGAAAATTTATATAAGATCTGGAAACAAAATTATACTGATTATGCAATGAATAACATCAATAGATATACACGTACATACCCAATTTTAGTACCAAAACCTTCTATCCAATTTAATGATTTAAACAGAAAGTCTTATGTAACCCTCTTTAGGGCCATAACTGGACATGGTAACATCAATTACCTTCTTCATAAAATGAAACTCTCCGATACCAATATATGTAATTGTAGTAATCCCAGTATTGATGATCTAGAACACTGGTTTTTTGAATGTGGACATAATAAAAATGCTTCCAAGCATATAATGGATGAACTGGCTAAATTACGTCTACTACCCATCAATTTTAGTTCTTTAATGTACATTATTAGATATGATAAAAAGGTTTATGATTTATTTATTAATTTTGTCAAAATGTGTGTGAGAAAGCTTTAGGGACTTGTTATCCTTTGGTACTGATCCTTATATGTTGTCCTTTTTACCTGGTCGATTACCCCTGTTTGTGTAAATAAAGTCGCCTAGATAGACCCTATGGCGTGAAGTGAGTGACCCTGTCTTTTGTGTTTTGATAGTTTTTTTTCAAGAATCTTCTTTTTCATTTGAGACATATAAATGAGTATGAATGAGAATACTATACTAATTGAATTTCTATTATTATTTTTATTTTAAATTGTAACACATAATTACATACACCATAGGTTACATAAATAGTATATTAAGTTAATTGTAGTGGCTGTATGCACTATGTGCAAAGCCAATCAAACCAAAAAAAAAAAAAAAAAAAAATTTTAGTTTGTCGCGAAATTTCGGTTTATGTCAAAAAAACCAATTCATGTTGGTTATAATCTTATAGAAATCACCTTTTCTAAATTTGAAATCGACGAAGAAACAAGCACGGCCTGAATCGCAGCATTCCATCGAGGCCTGCGGCTGACGTCACCACTATAAGCTGCTATGCTGCAAATAGTGGCGACGTCACTCGCGGGCCTTGCCGACTCGAGAATCGGTGAACATACACCTTATGAGGATGAGCAATTCGTTTACGATTCTTGCTTGCTACTAGAGTGTTATCATTATCATTTGTACTGCTTTTCTTGTTCAAACAGATCTCAGCAGTAGATCGGCGTTCACTTGTCCCATATATAAACGCATAAATAGCAGCTCCTCAGATATATCTGCTTTTTCGAGCAGGTGGAGCAAGTACTAATGAACAGCCCATTTATCTTTTGTCTATTCTCACAGAAATCACAAACCAGTTAGATCATTTTTGATTCGTGTAAATCGCCGACAACCAACCTATTTTCAATGCTCTGACTGGTTTGTGATTTTGACTTCATTAGGGATTTTTGTGCATCTTTTTTCAGTTCTTTCTAGTAATTCTTTATCGTTGATGCAGTGGGTTCCATATTGTGTGACAAGACAATACTCCAGCTTTTGGCGAATGAAGGACACATAGATTTTTTTTAAGGCGGTTACACACGGACGTGGATGTCTGAAAACATGTACGCACATACATGAACGTGCAAACAAAAACATCAATGTGTATGCAAAATACACGTTTTTGAATGTGCAGTTTTGTATGCACACTCGGTTTTGTTACAGTGGCTAAATAAACCTTTACATACAGTGGCGACAATTAGGCATTCCAGGTTAATGTCATAACCGATCCGCCATATTAGTTTGGGGGGCACACAAAAGCCAAACATAACCTGATTCAATGTTAAACCAAGAATTTTCAATCTATTTAGTGAAGATGCCTTCTTTTTGCTGCATTGTTAGGTGCTCTAGTAGAGCGAAAAGAGATAAAAGAAAGGTTTTTCAGGATCCCAGCAGCATTAAGAGATCTAGGGAATCGTCTAAACAAGCTAAAAAAGGAACGACGAAATCTGTGGATTAAATGCCTCAAAAGGAGAGATTTAACTGAAACGTTTCTGAAAAATGCTCGTATTTGTTCAAAACATTTTGTTAATGGTAAGTATTATGACTGTCTTGTTGTTAAAATACAAAAACACATTTATATCGAAAAATTGGTTTGTTTCTACAAGTAATATTTACTTTTAATACCTCTTAGGTAGTCCAGCAGAACTTGAATAACCCTTTATACGCCTTCAACTGTTCAACTGCAAGCCTGTGTAGTAGCTGTGGGTGTGGGTCAAATATTCGGATAAATCCAAAATTGAAATCTCTGGCAACTCATTGATACTTAAAGTAAACTCATTAGGTAGAAGCTTATAAGGATCTATATTGGCAATTATTTGTATTTTTTGGTCATACCGACATTTCACATCACTAGCTAACGATGAATAATAGTCAATGTTAGCCATTCTACCACAAAAACAACTTAAAACTTATTGAAAGAATTTAAGAACGCAAAAATTCGGAAACACAATCTCAAAGAACGGTGTAAATACTGATCTATAGGCTTTGTTTGCCCCCCAGCGGACCTGTCAAAAGTCACGTGACCTGGAATGCCTAATAGAGGTCCTGCCGCCATTTTGTTCCCAACCTCTTGTTACTTTTAAATAATAATATATGGTATTTAAATGGACATCTATCATAAAAAATTGAAATCGACGTTTAAATCCATCAAATACGCTGTTTTCCATGTTTTATGATGGATGTTCACCCAAATCCCATATATTCATATTTGAAATGAGCAGTAAGTGGGAACAAGATGGCCGCGTTTTCAATATAAATATATGGGATTTTAGAACCAATCAAAAATAAGACAGCAATTGTCGCCACTGTGGGTAATAGAGTCACTGTAGGTTTTGTGCGAGCGTCTGTACAAAAGCGCCATGCACGTTTTTGTTTGCAAGTTCATGTATGTGCGTACATGTTTTCAGACATCCACGTCCGTGTGTAACCGCCTTTATGAATCTACAGTTTTGTTGCTGAAAGCTCTCCCAGTTAGGGGTATAACAGAGTATTCGCTTTTTTCACCAGTTAAGCTATACGGGTTTCCCATTTCAGGCTGTCTGTTTACATTCCCTCGTCCCAGGTCCCTACTCTGTTCTGCGACTTCCCAGTTCTCAGTATCGTTGAGGCTGTATTTAATATATGTAAGTTATTTTTTTAATGTTAAAACTGAGTACCTACACTTGTCCAGAGCTGTCAGTTCTTATGAGTACTTGAAGTACAGTGGATAAACGGTACTTATACTTGGTACTTGGGGGGTGATGCTGGGATGCATCAGTGGTGTAAACAAGACCTGGGGTGCGTTCAAAGACGGCAATGCTAATGCCAAAACCTACTTTTCCCCCTCCACCTGGTAATGCCGAACCACGTAGTTTGGAGCCGAACTCGAACGCAAAATGCCAATTTTGGCTTGGCTGTAGCCATTCCTGAACGCAGCCCCGTACTCCCCTCTGAACCCGTCATTCACTTGATCAAAATAATATGTGCGTTTTTATTCTCATCGGTGGTTTCACCGATGAATTAGCTTTCTTTGTTTAGTGAATGGAAAATGACAATGACCGACATAGAATGGTGGATCCATCGGTAAAATTTGATGAGAATAAAAACGCAGCCAATCAAGAAATGCGCACCGGTGCAACTCGTTCATCTGTCTGCCTCTTACTTATATGATATATGTTTGATGGGCGCGTTGACATGCATATCGATTCCAGTGTGTGTTCCGCCTGTCTTACAAAATCAGCGTTGTCAATAGTCGTTTTTAATCTTGAAGATCCAACTTTTTGAAGCAAAGTCTTAATAAGATTAAATATCAATCCATAACAATTTGGCAATCAAATTGGAGGAGATACACCTGTGGTGAATTGTTCTCCTAGATGTTGGCGACACAAAATTTTGTTCTGTGATATGTCTATCTATGTCATTGGTTGGTTCTCACTTCATTATGCTTGTCAAGTCTGATTTTAAATATGTTTTTGTTTTCTGCACTCACTACACTTTCTGGGAGGCTGTTCCATGTGTTAACAACACGATTGTGGGCAGGTGGCTTCTTTGAAGAAGGATGTAATTTTCTGTTTGTATCTTTCTAGAATATCCCCTTGTTATGTTTGTATTCGGTATAGCACAGGTCACTTTAGGGCTTCATGGATGATCTTGAAGGTTTCAATGAGGTCTCCTAGTCTCCTCTTCGCTCTTCTGTCCTTTAGGGTTGGTAGATTGATCCTCAATCTGTCTTCAAAGAGAGTGTTTTTGCCTTCATTAGGGATTTTTGTGCACCTTTTTCGAGTACCTAACTCTATATCTTTGATGCAGTGAGTTCCATATTGTGTGATAGTACTCCAGCTTTGGGCGAATGAAGGACACATACATTTTTCTTACGAATTCTACAGATTTGTTGCCGAAAGCTCTTCCAGGTAGGTATATCAGAGTGTTCGCTTTTGTCACCATTTCAACCATATATATGGGCTTCCCATTTCAGGATGTCTGTTATTATCACTCCCAGGTCCCTCTGTTCTGTAACTTCTGAGTTCTCACTATTGTTGAAGCTGTATTTAATATGTAAGTTACTTCTTTTAATGTTAAGACTGGTACACTTGCCCATGTTAAGTTTCATAAGCCAGAGCTGTGTCCAGGTTTCTAGAGTTCTTATGTCTGACATGAATTTGTCCAGATGCTTCAGTGGGTTGCAGAACGTCTACCGGTCGTCCGCAAAAAACTGACTTTTAGTTTGCAATTCTGTGCTAAGATCTGAAATGTAACACCTGAATAGAAGCGGGCCAAAGACCGACCCTTGGATAACTTCAGTATGACCTGACTTTGGCTCTCCATCAGGGATGGCCATCTACGCGTAATAAAGTGTAAACAATACGTAGATAACGAGTAGAAAAACCGCTTGAAGATTTCATAGTCTACGGCACATCCCTGCTCTCCAAGCAATCTTACCCTGGAGATTTTTCAGTAAATGATAAGATTTTCCCTCAAATTCCCACAAAGTAATTTATATACTAAACGCTTATGAGGAACCTTATCAAAAACCTTCCCATAGTTACTTCTAACAAAGTTGGACTAGTCACTTCAAATCTGTTCTTATTTCAGCAAGAATCGGGAAATTGAAATAATTATTGCAAAACATACAAAATTATTATATTTAAAACACATTTTGGTTATTTATGAAATTATCTTCCTTAACAAAGGAATAATAATTCACAGAAAACAAGACATTATCTTTGGTCAAGTGAAATGGTTTGCGGTTATTTTGAAAAATACATTCGACAGCTTCAGTTTTCAAATTGAGTGATTCAAATGTATATTGAAAATCTTTAAAACCATCATCAATATAAAACGAATAAATGGTGTCGTTACATAGTACTACCTCAAATGAATATGCCTTGATGGAGTTCAAGTAGATTTGTTTCGTGGGCACAAATTTATTTTTTTCCAATTTAAGCCGTACACAATAATTGCCTAAAAAGAAATTAAAATTTGATTAACAAATTTTTCTCAACTTTGGTAGAAACAGAAACAAATACTCAAATTCTTCAAAATTTAAAAAGTAGTTGCCTAACTAATGACTCTAATGTTCCATAGTTTTCTGTATCTGACTTCTTTCTTAGAAAGAAAAGATGGTCAAAATTGTAATAAAACTTTTCCTTATAGATCAGCCGTTAAAATTAGAAAACCCTCACCTGTGGAATCTGAGCGTAAGATATACAAATAATTATCATCGGAAACGACTCGAAAAGGCGGAACAATTTCATTGTCAATCTGTATTTCAATTTGCGTCCAATTAGTTTTTTCTTTATCATACAAGTAGGCACGTTTTTCCACAGAGTAAACCATGCAAAGTTTACCATTAAATGAGCAACATTGGAAATTCCTATTATTGGTGGATGGTAGTGGAATTACTGGACTCCATTTGTCTGAAATTAGAAAACTGATTTGAAAACGGAGAATTTTCAAATGTATCAAGTGAAACATTACCAGCAATAAAATCGTACCATACCATGTTTTCCTGAACGACTCTAAATTTGCCTATGCCTCCTATCAAATAAATGCAATGATCTACTATCGCGGATTCAAAATGTCTTCGCTCTTGTGGCAACCTAAAAAAAAAATTAAATCAACGATGAAACATTAAACAAGCTAACATTTGCGTACTTGCTTTTCCTTTCCCATTTTCCTTTGAACGTATCATATGCCCAGAAATTGAAATTCCAATTTCCTATTCCCATAAAGTATTCGCCTCCATATAAAAAAACAAATTCTTTGTATGATGTTAATTTGTAGCCCACTAAATTTCTCATTTTGTCCATGTCAATTTGGAATACTGTTTCTGGATCTTTTGATACTGTATCTGGAATGAGGAATAAACTATGTAGTATTCTTATGAAAAATTCAGGATTTGAAATCATTTACCTGCAACTACTACATTTATCATTTGTTGACAAATATCGCGACAAGTATTTGCATACACAGTTTCACCCTTAAACAAAATACAAGGAATCAAAGGCTTTTTCCTACTTTCACAATTCAGAAAATGCTTAGCAAAGTTTATATGTTTTTCAGAAAATGTTTCCACATTAGCATTTGCTCTTAAAACTACAAGACAATTCAATATGCTTATAATATCTTCATTATTAGCTATATCAGGATAGGTTTGCATTTCCTTAACTTCATTATCTTGAATTGTTTTAAAATCAATACAATTTAATAATCTTAGAATCGTATCGACTTTTTGCCCCTTGAAGTGTTCTTGATTTTCATACCACCAATTCATGGCTTTTTGAAACACAGCAAATTCGCATTTAACATTCAAATACAAATTTCCCAAATACTTGCAAACATCATCTAAACCTAATTCAGAAATTTGACTATCAGAGATATTGGTAAATTCCTCTAGGGCCATTGATTTGGCTTTCAACCAATGAGGACTTATGTCCAACGATTCCGTCGTTTTCCATACAGGCAGGCAAATTGAAGGATTGAGTATTTCCATTATTCTGGTCTCGCATAGTTGCTTTATTGAGCTGAATTGCAACATACAAGCGACCTGGAGAATTAAATGCAGTTCTTTATCATCTACTATGTATCGGTCATCTTGTAGGAGTGAAAGGATGGTTTTGAATGATTTTAAATCTACTTCCTGGAATTGAAAGAGGAATTTTAAAATATCTATGTTATATCAAAGTACCTATTTGATCTTATAAGGTAGCAGTCAATTCTTACCTGAATTTTAATTATTTCTTGAGCACTTTCCTTAAAATTTCCAGTTAGCATTGCTCTAAAATAATCGCTATTATTAATGAGCAATGCTTTATTACATTCTAATGTAGTGCTTTCTATTTCCAATATCACAGTTTCATTTTGGGTTTCCATGATCATTCTCTAGTTATCACAATTTGTATCAAGAAATTAGTAACTATTTTTGTTCTCTTGAGCTTTCAAATAAACTGCAAACTGTGTCGGTACCCTATCATAACCTTCTTATATTTGTTTTGTTTATTTTATTTTGAATTTAGTCAGCTGACTGCGCTGTTGCCTTGATCAGGTAGGTAGATTTTGGAAGAAAAATATTTATGTACTAGGGACTAGTAAAAGTAAGTACCGTCAATTGGGGTGACTTAATACGCCGGGGTGTTATGATACGATTTGACGTATTACTTTGTTAATATGTATAAGATATAGAGCCGTCGTCGTTGACAGTTTATTTGTCATTGATTGTCGCTAGCGAGTATATGTGAGTGATCCCTAATATTTTTAGCGCCACAAAGCTAAAACACGTGCTTCAGTACAGGCTCAAATCAAAACAAATCAACGTCGTATTTCTGGTGGTTCGTAAACTTTGATCTGTAGCTACAGTTGTATTTGTTTGATTTCCATGAAATTTGGTGGTAAGTTAGCTTATATATTAGTTAGTAATATGACAAAGTTTCAAAGTGAAAAAATAAAAATTAATTATTTTGCAAATAAAATAGCATATTTGGTTCCAGGATGGGGTGACTTGATACACAGGTAAAATGCCAAGAAAATACAAGAAGTGTCCGGGAACGCGCAGATATGCATCGTATTCGGTAGAAAATTTGAATAAGGCGTTGGAAGATGTTAGAAGCGGGAAGTTAAGTATACGGGGAGCCAGTGAAAAGTACAGTGTTGACAAAATGAAAATCCATCGCTGTTTGAAAGGGAAAAATCAAAAGAAGTATGGGGGACAAATAGCGCTTTCTGCAGAGGAGGAAACCTTTCTCACTGATAAACTTGCTCAGGTCATCAGTGTGTCAGGTTCATCCAATGGCGCCAACAAGGCGGTCGAAGTTTCGTTTTTGAGACCTTACAGAGTTTCGAAAGATACATTTACTTGGCCTGATGTTAAAGACACAAGTTTTGTTTACCCTTTCGAAGTGAAGTACCGTTTACCTATGCCACAAAAGCAAAGAAGAGGACTTTTTAAATTTTCTTTTGATGTTTTATAGTCATATTTGTCTTGTTAAAACATTTATTGTATTTTTTTTAATGTATAAAGGGATAACTAATCCCTTTTTTCGAATAAACGTTCATTTTTCATAAGTTTTGCATAAATTAACCTTTTAATGTATTTTTTTCAAACTTAAACCTTTTAAAAAATATATTTTTGTGTATCAAGTCACCCTTTAAAGCTTACGAAATGATATTTATGAAGAAATAAATACGTGTATCAAATCACCCCGACCCACGGGGTGACTTGGTACACCAACATTTATTTTTTTTTTACCAAAACTGAAATTTATGACAATTTGGCACTTTGACTATATAAACTAGAGATCGAGACTAAACTTTTGAGGGGTATATGAACTTCCTAGGTCTATCCATTCCAAAACTACAGGCAATTGAATTTCAAAAATGTATCAAGTCACCCCAATTGACGGTATTCTTTTAGTCCATATTTTCAGGGACTGAAATGGCCCTTTTAATCCCTAGAGATTTAAAATGTTTTTAATCTCTAGAGGGAAATACTATATTCTTTAACTTAGTTTTTGTTTTTCAAAATCGGTAGAGTTTCAGTTGAAAATAATGTGGAAGAATTTGCTTCAAATTCAGTTTTTATTGTTTTTAAAATTGTTTGCGATTGACTTCCATATTCATCTCTTGACAGGTGATCAATAGGTACCTATTACTTCATGTATTACCGTTGTGTCGTTTTTTTCAAAATTGGTAGAGTTTCAGGGTACCTACTTATGGCCCTTACAAGTTGGAAAATGTGAAAGGAAGGATGACCTTGTGGAAGGACCATTCGTAGGTCGATCGAATGTACCTACGCCGATGGTATTTTCCTGTTTCTGACTAATCCTTCAACCTTTTCATTTTAGTATGATTTCAATCCTTTGTACAGTTTTTGAATAATCATACAGTTTTGTATATTTTCGTATGGTTCTCCATTCGTAGATCGATCAAGTGTACGCCACTGGTATTTTCCTGTTTCTGACAGGGGCGCCGCGTCGGGGGGGGGGGGGGGGTAATGGGGGTAATTACCCACCCCCCCCAGGATCCAAAATTCAAGGGAAAAATCACGATGCCCAAAAGAAAATACATAATAATATTAAAGAAAAAAACATTTTTTTTTGTTTTATTTTCCTCACAAAGGAAATTATTGTTCTGGAAAAGTGAATGACCTTGAAATTGACAAAAAAAATCGCCTGCGGCGCGTTAGCGGGGGGTCGCATCTTCCCATTACCCCCCCTAGACTGCAAGTCACGCGTCGCCACTGGTTTCTGACATACCCCCCCTCAACCTTTTCGTATGTTAGTATGTACAGTTTTTGAATAATCATACAATTTCTCATGTACAGTTTTTGAATAATCATACAGTTTTTTTTTATCGTATGGTTCTCTATTCGTAGGTCGATCGAGGGACACCCTCAACCTTTCCATGTTAGTATGAATTCAATGCTATGTACAGTTTTTGAATAATCATACAGCTTCCTATGTACCGTTTTTGAATAGTCATACAGTTTTGTATATTTTCATTTTCGTATGGTTCTCCATTCATAGGCGCCGGAACCATGCGGGCAATGGGGGCTTGAGCCCCCGTAGCGAATTTGCTATGGTGATTTTGGCATTGTATGTAGTGGGTGTAGTGAGTAGGTACAAAAATATTGAGTTCCTGATCCTTACATTCCTAACTCTATTTATTTTTATATCAAACTTGTTTTTTATGTTTTTGTTGCTTTTGCTATACCGACTTTGACAAACAGTTTGAATATTTTTTTGTTTAGTAGTACAGTAAATTTTAAGGGGCCTTATTAATACAAAAAGCTTAGATGACAGATACCCATTACCCAACATAACGGATCTCTTGAACAAGCTGGGACGCTGCCAGTATTTCACTACCTTAGATTTAGCTAGCGGCTTCCAACAGATCTACATGCATGGAAACGACATCGAAAAAACCGCATCCAGCTCAGAAAACAGGCATTATGAATTCTTGCGCATGCCCTTTGGTTTAAAAAACGCGCCTGCTGCATTCCAAAGAGTTATGGTCATGGATGATATTCTATATCCTAATATATTGAGCAACATCCCATTAATAATAGTTAGTTATCCATTATACAAGGGAAAAAAGTATTAGATTTTATAGCGAGATGTAGTTTGCCTCCCGTCGCGAAGCGGAGGGAGACAACAACAAGGTGGCCAAAGAGCGCTGGGAATGCTGGAGGTGGAACAGAGGGGAAATCGTTATCTTTCGTTCTCTATTCAACCTCAATCTTATTAGAGTTTTTCTAGACATTTAATTCTATAGCATTAAAATTGGCCTGCTGTTGACCTGTCAAACCTGTATAAAGGTAGTTCATATTTTGGCCATGCCATTAAGTAGCTTATTTATAAGTTTGTTTCGTGCCATAAGTTGAGTTTTTTTCAATTTGTATTGAATGAAAGCGAGGCATCATAGCGAGGGAGTGTGTCGATTTCAATCCATTTGCTGAAAAGATCTGTATATCAAAATTGTCTACTACCGTTTGAATCAGACAATCGGGCTTCAAGCTATTTGCTCCCCGTAGTTCGAAGTTTGCTGATTGCATGTTACGGCGAACTGTAGTTGCTACAACAAATTCCAAAGCCATACTGAAAATTAATAAGTTGTCCTGATCAGCGTTGCCAGATGGAATGAAAAAATTTCGTGAGAATCGAGAAAGAAAAATCGTGAGGCTAAAAATTGCTTAATGGTAAAAGAAAATGAAGCACAATAATATTTTTTTATAGATTTTTGATAAAGTAAACATGATTATAAATTCATAGGAAATAAACATTTTATTATTAAATCTCTTGTATCCATGTATTTTCCGTTTTTTAGCAGGTATTTCTGGAAGCTGAGCCTCGTTTTCACGTTCACTATCCGCAGGATTTCTCATAAGGCGTACGTTCGCTAATTCTCGAATCAGCGGTAGGTCTGCGAGTGACGCTACCACTATCAGCTGATGATAGTGGTGACGTCACCCGCAGTCCTCGATGAATTGCTTGCGATTCAGACTGTGCTTGTGCTTAATTTTTTCTTCGATTTTAAATTTAGAAAAGGTGATTTTAACGTTTAGGAATTCGTTTTTTTGACCTATAGTGTTTTTAAACTCGGATAATGCATTTAACGCCAAGAGTCAGCGTTGCCAGACCCTTAAAAAATTAAAGTACTGATCAAGAGACAAAAAATGTACTGAAAAACGGAAAAATGTACTAACTTCAGAAACTGAACTGGAGTTCATAAAACTGATAAAGTAGATGGTTTTAGGATACTTATTTTGTTTTTCCTACTCCTCTACTGCTTTAAATTTAAAACATCAAATACTTAAAAGGTTTTTTACTTATTATTAATTAATTATTTATAATATTTCACGGTTTGGTTAGTGGCAGAGATGGGTTTAGACCGGGTTTTTTGGAAAAAACCCTAAGAACCGGTTTTTTCGAATAACCGTATTTCAAAAAACCGGGTTCATTGAAACAACCCGGTTTATTCAAATTTTGGGTTTAAACCCTGATTTTTCTTAAAAAACCCAATAAACCCAAGTTTTTCATTTTTCGCTTCTCTAGGAACACTTTTAAACCAAATCAAACTTTTAAATGATAATTATTAGGATAAATAATAAGTGTTCAGAGCTGGGCAAAGCCCTCAGTAAAAGGGCTTGAAGCACTAAGCCCTAAGCCCTCTATCAAAGTGCTTCAATTTCAAGCACAAATTCCTTTTTATTTTCAAAAGTGCTTCACAAGCACAAAGCCCTCAAAGTGCTTTGGGCTTGACAAGCACAAAACCCTCAAAGTGATTTGAAAAGTGCTTGAAGCACATCAAAAGTGCTTGGGGTGCCTTGAAAAGGGCTTCAAGCTCTTTAAATGTGCTTCAAGCTCTTTAAATGTGCTTGAAGCTCTTTAAATGTGCCTAAAGCACTTTGAATTTGTAATAAAATTCTCAAAGTGGCATAAGCTACCGCGACACTCATCACACAGAAT